ACTCACCGCTGAGTTGGATCCGCGGTATGTGTGGATGTGATTAACACTACTTCCTTGCAAACAAATCCCATCTTGGAATCTCTTCAAAACCCTTTACACCCACTAGGGTTTATACAAACTTGCCCTAAGGTTTCAACTGCACACCTAGAGCTTTACAAACCATGCTCTGATTCCATGTTGACTTTAAAATATAACCAAATTAAGAGTAAGTGATAAAGAAGAAGAAAAAGAGAAGAAAGCGGATGAGAGAAAAAGAAAGAAAGATGGGGAAAGAGAGAAAGAATGAAAGAATGCTTTCATCCTTCCACCACATTCTATATATAATAACAAGTTTCAAAAATTATACATAAGCCCCAACATTTATAAGTAATAACAAATAAGCCCCTGACAACAGGAATTGTGTAAAGGCTTGAATGAGATTAATCACTCATTCACAGCTCTAGTATTTATAGAAAAAAAAGAACACATGCTTATATTACAAGAAAGGAAATAAAATCAAATCTAAATCAAATTACAGCATATTCTATAGCATAATCAAATCTCTACTAATACGGTAAGTCAATTCATAAATCGTGGCTATCATATCTACTAACAATTTTCCTATAGGGGAGAGCTGGGGTTTGCTTTTAGGCTTGTTTGGGGTTCAGTGGGTCATGCCTTGATCCTCAAGAGACTCGATAGAGGCTTGGGGAGGTTGTACAGTAGTTTCCCGGGCCCGTGACCTTTGGAGGGTGGCACCTTTGTATGCATGGTGGTGCTTGTGGAGGGAATGGAATTGGAGATCCTTTGATGATGGGGAGACTCCTATTGGGACATTGAAATTTTCTATCATTTCTTCTCTTTTTTGTTGGGTCGTTGGCAAAAATTGGAAATCAATGGGGAGATAGTTGACTGTTTAGATAAACTGAGAGTTTAGGAGCCCTATTTGGCCCTTATGTAGCTTTTGCAGAATGTTTTCCCTGTTTGAACACCTTCTAATCTAATTTTACATATTTAAAAAAAAAAAAAAAAAATTGACTATTTCAAAATTTTCAGGAAACATCAAATAAGTTAATTGTAATGACCGGGCCCACGTGGTACAATATTGTCCCCTTTGGACCGAAGCCCACAAGGTTTTGTTCCTGGGTCTTAGCCTAAGACGCATTGTACCATAGAGAGTACCAATCCTACATATATAGCACTTCCCATTCCTTTCTTTTTTATAAATAAAAGTATATTAAAGAGCGTTCAAGAGGGGAATACATCCCGAAAGCCATACAAGGGCCGAAGCCAAAGAGAGGGTCCTATGGACCCAAAGAACCCAAAAAATCCACAATTTCATCTAAAGATAAAAAATTTCTCCCCATCACCCAGCTAAAAAGAGAACTAACAATAGTAAATTTCAGTGCCTCAATGGAAGATTCCTTCCCATCACCAAATAGTAAAATCCACTTCCCCTTTCCACACCCAGGTGATGTGGGATCATGCACCCGTAGCTTGCCAGCATAGTGACCTGCCAATGCCTCGCACCTGCCCAAAAGGTCCCCACAATCCACCCCCTTAAGAGGCCCAACGTCCCAATCGGCACACTTTTGGCTAGGCTCCGACTCTAATACCATCTTGTAACAACTGGGTCCACATGGTACAATGTTGTATGCTTTGTGCCGAAGCCGTACGTTGTCCTGGCCTTAGCCCAAAATTGCGTTGTACGATGGATAGTACCAATCCTACATATATAACACTTCCCCTTTCCAAACCTAGGCAATGTGGGATCGTGCACCCATAGCCTGCCAGCATGGTAGCATGCCAGTATCTCGCACCCGCCCACAATGTCACCACATTAATAGCTTATAAAACATTATACGTATTCTACTATTATATCTTGAAGTTTCTTAATCACATCTGTTAGCCCCAAGATTTTAGGTCAAGTGAAACTAGGTAATTTTGATGATTTGAGTATTTAATTGCCTACTTGAGTATAATGGATTTCAAGAATTATATTTAATCTCAAGTAATTAAGCTGATATATGGAAGGTGCATAAAGCAATATTCATTTTAAAGAACATGGACTCGACCCTTCTGTTGAACCCAACACATGGCAATGGAACTACATACACTGAAGATCAAGTTCAAGACCATGGGGCATTTGGTTTTAGTGAGCGTTAGAATCAATGTAAAGTACTGGTTATGTCGCAAGATGATTCTATGCTCAACTATAGGAGATAATAATCGGACCTAAGCTAAAAGACAAACTGTTTTCTTGGTCCCTAAGCAAATATGACTCAGCTCTCATACTTTAATTCAAAATAAAAAACCAAGGGCAGAGTAGTCATAAATGGTCATTGGGAGTTTTCACTTTAAGGAACCAGATTGCTTTAATTCAAATTAAAGTGAGACAAAGGACTATGACTTGTTTGTACAAGTTGTCCTTAGCTAATGGCATGGCCGAGCATAATGGATAAGACCATAGTATGCTATACTGGCCCTAGAGTGTCTGTCAAACAGGTGTTGCACCTTGCTGAGCTGGCTCGCAGCTGGAGCACAAAATGCTCTCTAAATCGACAAGGAAGACATCTATTCATTTGGAGTAAGTGTTCACTACTGGAGAAACAGGCTTATAAACTTAAAGTTTTATGCGCTCCACTTACACATATTTCCAAACAATCTCAAAGTCCTCCAACATCTATATTTTCAAATGAGACTATAAAAGAAAGTTTTCCTCACTCCTTTTAGCTATCAGCATTAGTTAAAACAAAGCTTCATTTTTAGAAATCCTTTGGGAGTTCATTGAGAAAATTAGGAAATCTTTTCAAACTTAATTCAAATCTTTTGAAAAAGCTTTGAGAGAATAAAGAAAAACAAGACTTCAATTATTATTGAATATCTAAATAATTCTTTAGAAATCACACTCTAGAAGTTGAGGTAGATTACTTGCTTCATCCTTTACTCTAGAGTTTGAGAGAGTGCTGATTATATATCTTTCTTTTGAGAGAAATCTGTAATGCGAAATGATTGTATATCTGTCCAAGAAGGGACACCATTGTATTGAGTTTATTGTATATCTCTTGAGAAGAGAACATAAGGTTATGAACCTTTGCAAGTCTCAGAGAGTGCTGCTCCTCAGCAAGAAAGGTTTCCTCTGATCCTGGAAAAAGAAAGGGTTGGTCTTGAGCCTGAGAAAAGGACCATTGTAAAGGTTTCTTCTCTACCTCTTAAAGAGAAGAAAGAGAGTGAGATTTGGGAATCCTCGTGAGGTGCTCCTAGAGGCAAGGACATAAGCTGGGGCCGAACCTTGTAATCTTTGTGTCTTTTGTGCTTGTGTGTATGCAATTTCTACCCTTAAACTCTTGTTTATTGTGTTCTTGCAATCTGTTGTAAGGTTTAGCTTTGCTTCATTTCTGTTTGCACAGTCCAAGACCATACTGTTTCTACAAGATTAGCACTCTTTGTATTTCATTCAAATCCTAAGTGCTAAGGTTGAAAACCGAATGAATAACCAGTAGTCAAACCATAGCTATCCTTTTTGTTTCATTCCCTTGTTAGACTCTGTTGTTCGTTTCACTCCATAGACAGACTCAGTGTCTTAGCTTCGAAAAGTTAGTCAGCTTGCCCTAAAGACTCTATTCTCCCCTCCCCCATCTCCCTCTTGAGTCATTGTCTAGACAACAACATCATTTTCAAACATCTATCTTCTTCTCATCAGGAATAATTCAATTACCATTTTATTTCCTAAGAATATTGTCCATGGAAGTTTCTTAGTAGTCCTGAATCAATGATAACAAAACATTCCTACTTCACAAATGATAGTTTAGCTTGTCCTAAAATTAATACATTGTGGTCTTATGTCTCCATCAATTGCTAGGTTTCCAGAATCCTCTAATAGTTCATGCACCAACTGAAGATAAGTTCTATGAGTTTTAAAGGAATACAATAAGGAACTAGTCACTTAGTTTGAATTAAATTCTTTCGGTTGAAGGAAAATATATTTCCAATAAAAACGGAACAAGGCCATTCAGGATCTTTTCAATACAGAAAAAAATAAAAAGTGTGGAAGTCATTCGATGTTAAAATCTTCGGAAAGGCACACATTTGAGACTGGTTTAAGCATTAGTAAAACACACAAAAAACCAAAAAAAAAAAAAAAAGGCATTCAACTGCTTAATGACTATAATCATCTTCAGAAATAAAGATCTATTCCTGTATTCATAAAAAAAAATGTAACTGATATACTAACCACAAAAAGAAAGCCCAAATACCGCAGATGACATAGTTGATGGACTTGATAGACTAAATCTGAAAATAATTTAGACCTTGTTATGCTAACCTCCAAATTAGTATATCCGGTCTCCATATGAGTTTGGGACCATAGGAAGAGAATAGAAGCTGAAGAAAGGGATAAAACGAGGTCTAATTTTGCCAAGCCTCACTTTTCTTTCGTTCCTAGCTTAACTGCCATTAGGGTTGATAACCTGTGAATCTCCTGCACAACTATTCATCGGTGCATAACCGAATAGGAATCCCTCCAGGCCATTTGATAATTTGGGTAAGAGTGGTATTTATTTGAATTTGATATAACTATCAAAGCCAGGATATTTATCAGGCTTCTATACAACACCAGAATGATACGAGATAGATCTTAGAGTTTGAGACACTCATCTAATGCCTACCATGTTATCACCACCATTTCTGTAGTATTGCCTTATGCCTTACCTCTTCATTTACAATTCTATATCATAATTGATTATCCAATTATTTTCTCTGCCAGAAATGAAGCAGCATTATTCCAAAAAAGAAAAAGAAAAAGAAAAGAAAAGATATTAAGCATTGCAGTACAGCAATGATTAAGTTTCACTAACTTATACATGAGAGGGAGGGCATCAAAATTCAATAAACTAAAAGAGAAAAATTAACTTTGGATGCACAGAAACCATTCATAATTTCTAGAACTTCATTTTTTCTGGAGATCAAATAGTCCAATAAAAATTTATAATTCTGAAATTGATATCGAAACAAAGACCAACCTATTTGATGTATATAAACGATACAAGGAACAAAATTTTCTCCAGTCATAATAGGAAGCCGTTCAAGTTCCAATGATGAAACCTGTAAAGCACCAGTAGAATCAAATTAGACCGCTATTTAACTTGAAGTGAATTTACTGTCAATTTTTTTCATATGCAAAAGAACAAGAAGCACCTGTTCCAGAAATTCTGGCAATTCCTCATATATTTGCCTCAGCTCGTCCAACTAGATTCCAATATATATATATATATATATATATAAGAAAACAAAAAGAAAATTGATTTGTCAGAATTGCCAAAAACATAAGTTGCAGATCGTACATCACATAAGGAACTTCTTAGAGTACTGCATAAGGAACTTTTTACAAAAAGGAAAGGGATAGAGTACATCGCATTGGCAAAGGGTGAATAAATCAAAGAACTCTTCATGTCTGCATCCCAATATAATAATGAACACAGGAGTACCAAGCTAACCAATACCAATGAAAAGTCCTAATGCCTTTAATAGGATGTCTAACCTCCTCACAGAAACCATCTTTCACCATTGTACCGTAACCCTTCTCTTTACTTCTATTTACGTCAACAACACCAATCACCTACAAAAAAGCAAAAACTTAAGAATATTATGGACAAACAATAGTAGGAGAAAACATCAAAAAAGCTACTGCAAAAACAAAGAGACTAATGAATCATGATAGTATGGACATGCATTATTTCACTACAAAAGCCAATGCTTGACCATGGTATAAACACAAAAGAAAAGAAGGCAAATCCTAATGATCACAAAATATTAAAGGTCAATTATAGGTCTGCTAGCTATTTAAGCCATCTCATACATAAATGGCATATGCTTGACCATGGTGTTAACCAAGCAACAACTTGTCATTTCCAGACCTCTTTCAAGCTTAAGAATTGAAATAATCAATATATTTCTCAATATAGATTACAGAAGCTTCTTAAATACAAACATAAAGCTTTCCTGTTTTTCCTCCTAAGGCAAGCATACAGTTTGTGAGAGCCTAATTTACATTGTTGTACCTATCTCTTAATAGTTTTAAGCTTTTGGGCCACTGATTGTCTAATGTGGTATCAAAGCTTCATGGGAAGTCTTGGATTCAAGTATTTGGGGCAAACGATTGTTCAACACACCTTTAGATAGGACTCATCTATAACGGCAGATAAGATTAGAGATTTAGTTTCAATCTCGAGTTCTACTGTTATTAGAGTTAAAAACTTTTGGATGGACACGAGCAGAATTGCTAAGCCTGACACACACGCCTTCTTGTCCTACTACAGAACATCATACAATTTTCAGGGAAAATGAAGGCAGCTGCAACACCATTCATAATGACAGAGCTGTTTAAAGAATAACTTTCCAAAGCTCTTTTTCTTTCCAATTGCATCTGGCTGTAGCAGAGTATGCATTAGATAGCAAACAAAATATTTAAGGAACATAAATGAACTCACCAATTCATAGACATAGGCCAGATCAGATGAAATGCAGGAACCAGCCTACAAAAAAATTATAAACAAATATAAAAATAAATAGCAATGACCATGAGATTATAAGAAAACTTTCCACAACTTCACAAAGAATGAAGTAGGAGTTATAGTCTTCGCACCTTTTCAACAATATCCAAGTTCAAATACCTCACTTGCTCTCGAAGACTTTCTGACATGCCTACTTCAAATATCTTGTTCACATGCAAGAGTGAGCAAATGCTCTACAAATGCATACAGTGTATTATTTGTGTCAAAAAATTCAAAATGAAAACTTCAACAAACAAGACTGCTTTGCTTAAGTCAAAAAATAATAATAATAATAATTTGAGGAAGAGAAGCATAGCAATAACAGTGCAAGAAACAGTTCCATGTTCAGAAATTCAATTATCATGTTCACATACAAACTTGCAAAAACACTTCCATCTTCAGAAATTCATTTATCATGTTCACATATGAATTTCCAGCAGATGTAACTCTTATGAGCAAGTGAAAATTTCATAATTGTAAGAACTAGGTATTTGCCATCTAATATAACAATCCTGTACGCTGGTGTGGAACCCTGAGCCACCAAAATTAATCAGACTTCTTGACTACCTTTTTAATATTTTAACATGGCTACTAAAAATGTAACGATTCATAGAGCCAAGATACCAATATCATGTTTCAATATGAAACAAGATTGAAGAGTTGGACTCGAGGACTCTGCAAGGTCTACTCTCAGGACACAGCCGTATGTGTGCATGCACATGCATGTCCGTCTTAGATAAAATTGACTGTTCAAATACAAATTTATATTCATTGATGTCAAAATTGAAGAGAGAAATAGAAATTGAGGAACATAAGGATATATGTGGTTCAGCCACTAGGGCTTACATCCACGGCACACAAAGCCCAAAGGGCTACATATCTTTATTATAGTCTCTTGATTTTTTATACAATGAGCATTAGGTGAAATGAGAAAGAATTGTAGGTAGAGAATAGAAAATACTTGCTCTGCAAGTATTCTTGCTTTATAAGTATTTTATAATAAAAGAGTTACACATAAAGTCAAATACAAATATGGCAACAAAGTCTCATAGCAATATTCTGTCAAAGAGTAATTTAAGTAAGGGTTCCTATAATAATATTCTCCGACAATTGATGTTTTAGCTCCTGCGAATGTGGAAGATCAATGAGAACACGATAAAGAAGGATGTCATATTTTTGTAATTGATTACATAATAAAAGGATAAAATACATTTGTTCTTTCTGCACCATTTTGGGTAAGTAAAGGAGGAAGTCTGCTCATGTTCAAAAGGGTGTCAGCCTTCAGACAAAAGTGTACAGAAGTGCTACAATGATAAATACAACAAAGCCAGAGGTCAACAATAAGACCTGTGGTGCATGTCATGACAAAAATGCCATCACAATATGTTTTAACTTTGGATCAGTTATAGATATCTGCAAACAGCCGGAATGATGAGTTCTTTTCAGGAACATTCCCTCATTAGGAGTATATCATAATTCTAGTCTTCCTTGACTGCTAGAGGTTTGAGATGTAACTTTAAGCCTTTCAGTAACAACTTTGGCCTCATTCTATATCCACAATCCTAAAACTTCAAAAAGGGTTATTGAGACATACAATATTTTTCAAATTAAGACGAGCCCACATTAAATTATTGGGACCATGAAGACTCCAAACAAACTACCACCGTCCCCTACCCACCAGCAAAATAAGAGAGAGAGAGATGAACACAAAGGTGAAAAAGAATAAATTCTGGTATTCTCTTTTCATATCACATATGTTAGTTTACAGGCCTATATATATAGAAGTGTATTACAATTCTATCTAAGGAAAAGATATATACAGATCATAATTCCTATAATATAGGAACTGCTTATGCAAAATTAAAAAAAAGTCAACTAACTATGGATAATTCCTAAAAATCCTCCCTAACTAATTTCCTAACAATTCAGCCTAGATCTTTCCACACTCCCCCTCAAGCTGGCTCGAAAAATATCCTGCATTCCCAGCTTGTATGTAAGATTGTCAAATTTCTCCTTTGGTAATCCTTTAGTGAGGATATCTGCTACCTGTTCTCCTGTAGGAATATAGGGCATACATATCACTCCTTCTTCCAATTTCTCCTTAATAAACTGTCGATCAACTTCCACGTGCTTAGTCCTATCATGTTGGACAGGATTGTGAGCTATGTTGATTGCAGCTTTATTATCACAGTAAAGCTTCATAGGCATCAGACTTGAGATTTTAAGATCTTCAAGTAATCTTTTCAGCCACAAAATTTCACAAATTCCATGAGCAACTGCTCTGAACTCAGCTTCTGCACTACTCCATGCTACAATGGTTTGCTTCTTGCTCCTCCAAGTAACCGAGTTGCCACCAACATAAGTACAGTAACCTAAAGTAGACCTTCTATCCGTCACACTACCTGCACAATCAGCATCGGTATAGGCTTCAATCCTTAGATGGCTGTGGTTCTCAAACAACAAACCTCTTCCAGGTGATTCTTTTAGGTATTTGAGAATCTGGTAGACTGCCTCAAAGTGTTCTTCTCCTGGTGAGTGCATAAATTGACTCACTACACTCACTGCAAAGGTAATATCTGGCCGAGTGTGTGAAAGATAAATGAGTCTTCCAACCAGCCTTTGGAATTGCTCTCGGTTCACCACTTTTTCTGCACTTGCTGCCTGCAACTTTAAATTGGGCTCCATAGGTGTTTCCACCGGTTTGCAGCCAAGTAAACCTGCCTCCATAAGTAAATCCAACACATACTTCCTTTGAGAGACAAATATCCCTCTCTTGGATCTGGCAAATTCCATTCCTATGAAGTTTTTCAAAGCTCCAAGAACTTTTATCTCAAATTCTTTTGCTATAAAAGACTTCAATTCCTCCAATTCTCCTTTATTATCTACGCTCAAGATTATTTCATCCACATAAACAATAGGTATGGCTATCTGTTAGATAAAAAAGGAGAGAAACTGTATATTGTATTGATGTATAAGAGATATTACATACAGGTCTATATATAGGAAAAGGTTTGGGGATAGGTGAGTGATGAACAAGTAACCTATATATACTAATATGGTAGGTGAACTCATTTATGGTAATTTGTAATATGCAATAAACCTAGATTGTAGGTAAATGGGTAAACTTGTAATCTGAGAGTCCCAATCAAACTCAAGGTGAATATGAACCCAACTTGAGATTGAAGACAAGATGATGAAAGTTGATGGAATTTTGGTGGAGATGGGTTTTCACCCATGATGATGATGGAGGCACGATTAACAGCTGAAGCGGCACTACTGCTGACTGTGTCTGACATGGCAACTGACGTGGCAGGTGACATGGCACCGTTGCTGGCTGTGTCTGACATGGCAACTGTTGTGGCAGGTGACGCACTACTGCTGGCACCGCTATTAACGTGTCTTGGAGGTTGATTAGGCGGCCAAATAAAGCTTTTGCTGATTATGGAGGACTTGAGATTGAAGGTTGGGATGCGGAAGCATAAGTTTGAAGGTTGATCGCCACCGCCGAGGATGGGGCTAATGGTGCCATCCCCGGCGATGACTACGATAAAATGTTAGATTGTTTACCAGAGATCAAAAGGCTCTGATACCATGTTAGATAAAAAAAGGAGAGAAACTATATATTGTATTATTGTATAAGAGATATTACATAAAGGTCCTATATATAGGAAAAGGTTTGGGGGTAGGTGAGTGATGAACAAGTAACCTATATATACTAATATGCTGGTGAACTCATATATGGTAATTTGTAATATGCAATAAACCTAGATGGTAGGTAAATGGGTAAACTTGTAATATAACACTATCTTACCATCACTTGAATGTTTGTAGAACAGAGTGTGATCAGCCTGACTTCGACGATATCCATGACCCTTGATAACTTTAGTGAATCGATCAAACCATGCTTTGGGTGATTGTTTTAAACCATATAGCGATTTCTTCAATTTACACACCTTTCCAGCACCATAATCATTTTCAAATCCTGGTGGTAAATTCATAAACACTTCTTCCTCTAGCTCACCATTTAAGAACGCATTCTTTACATCTAACTGCTGCAATGGCCAACTCAAGCTTGCAACAAGAGACAACAGCACCCGTATGGAATTAACCTTCGCCACAGGGGCAAAAGTTTCCTGGTAATCTATTCCATAGGTTTGGGTGAAGTCTTTAGCTTTGAGTCTCGCCTTGTATCTCTCAATATTACCATCAGCCTTATATTTGACCATGAACACCCATTTGCATCCTACGGCCTTCTTCTCCCTTGGCAACTCAACAATCTCCCAAGTTTTGTTCTTATCAAGAGCCCTCATCTCTTCCATAACTGTTGCCTTCCACTCAATATGATTCAAGGCCTCCTGTATAGTTCTAGGAATTGAAATACTAGAGAGATTAGTGGTAAAAGCTCTATAATTTGGAGACAATCTATGGTAGGACACATATTTAGCAATAAGATGCATGGTACAAGAGCGAGTACCCTTCCTTAGTGCAATAAGAATACCAAGGTCATGAGAAAGGCTCTCTTCATTGCTGGTTTCAGGAATTAAAGATAGATTAGAGACGAAAATACCTGTTTCATTCAAGTTGCCTCTATCCGGAGAATTTTCTTGGCATGTAGTAGGGTGGTGCTTTTTATTTGGATCCTTCCTCCTTCGAGAGTAAACACGGAGCTCGGATTGAGGTTGGATTTGAAATGGTTTTCCCCCTAAAGTGTAGTCTATAATGTTTGACTCAATAGACTTCGAAGAGGTTGAAATAGTGGGTTCAGTAGGTAACGTAAAGTTTGGTGAAACACTCGGCAATGGTAAAGAGCCCAACACTTCCCAAAAATGGTCTTCCCTTTCATTACTCTCCCCCTGAAGAGTATTTTTGGTGAAATAGGGTTTGAGTCTCAAAAAAGGTCACATCCATACTCACAAAGAATTTTTTAAAGGTGAGGTTATAACATTTATACCCATTCTGTTTAGGAGAGTACCCAACAAACGCGCACTTTTCAGCCCTAGGATCAAGTTTTGAACGGTCCTGTGTATGAACATGTACAAAAGCAGTGCATCCAAACACTTTAAGAGGTAATGAGGTGAAGATCCTAATATGGGGAAAAACTGATAGCAAGCTATTTAGGGGCGTCTCAAATTTCAACACCCTAGTTGGCATTCTGTTGATCAAGTATAAAGCTGTAAGAACAGACTCACCCCATAAATATTTAGGAACCCCATATTGAACATTATTGCCCTAGCAACCTCAAGTAAATGGCAGTTTTGTCTCTCAACTATCCCGTTTTGCTGTGGGGTATCAAAGCAAGTGGACTGACAGAAAATACCATTTTCTTTCAAAAAAATCACCAAGAATAGAGTTAAAGAATTATTTTCCATTGTCGGTTCTAAATACTTGAATCGGCGTTGAAACTCGTTTTCAATCATGGAATAGAACTCTTTAAACACTCTCGCAGCCTCAGATTTTTCTCTCAAAAGATACACCCAACACACTCTAGTATGGTCATCAATGAAAGTGATGAACCACCTAGTTCCAGTCACATACTAACCCGAGAAGGCCCCCACACATCACTATGAATCAAATAAAATGGTTTGGATGCTTGATATAAATGAGAAGGATAAGAAACACGATCATGCTTTGATAATTGACAAGATTCACATTGAAATAACAAAGGATTTAAATTTTTGAACAGTGATGGAAACAAATGTTTTAAGTAAGAGAAACTAGGATGGCCTAACCTATAGTGCCATAACATTATTTGACTTTTAACAGAAATAAAAATATCACTACTACTTGCAGCTTGAGCTTGTCCACTCTTAAAGATTTCATTATCAAAATAATAGAGTCCATTAACCATCCTAGCACTGCCAACCATCTTCCCCGAATATAGGTCCTAAAATTCACAGTGAGAATCAAGAAATTTGACAACACAGTTAGAATCCTTGGTGAGTTTACTAACTGATAAAAGATTGCATGAAAGGTTAGGCACATGGAGGATAGATTTTAAATCAAGGTTTTCTTAGACAAATATAGAACCATTTCGTGTAACCGAAGACAAATTACCATCAGCAATACGAATTTTTAAGTGACCAGAACTTAGAAAATATGTACTAAACAAATGCGATAAACTAGTCATATGATCAGATGCACCAGAATCAATGATCCAAGGTGCCGGATTTAAAGAACTAGTGAGAGCACTTAAAGAGCTACCTTTTTGGGCAAGAGAACCTGAGGAGACACTTGAAACTTGAGTTTGGTTCAGCAGTTTGGAGAGATGGTCAAGCTGCTCCTTACTGAATGGAGATGTCTCAGCTTCGGTAGTAGCCTGCATACCACACCCATTCTTGTCTCCAAATCTGCCTACCTTCCAATTTGCTGGTTTTTCAAGTAGTTTCCAGCATGTTTCTCGCGTGTGCCTTGGTTTGTTACAAAAATCACACCTGTGGGTGATTTGATGGTTTCAGATTAGCTTCCTACCACTAGAGAAGTCTTCTGAGGGAAGAAAGCCGCAAGTTGGTGATGATGGGAAAGAAATCCTTTAGCACTCATAGTGAGAACTCTGCACTCAATGTCACAGCCACTGAAATGGCAGCAGTTGCAGCTAATCTGAAACCAACAAATCACCCACAGCGGAAGATTGAAGAGAAAACCAACAAATCACCCACAGCGGAAGATTGAAGAGAAAACCAACTTGCGGCTTTCTTCCCTCAGAAGACTTTTCTAGTGGTAGGCAGTGGCTCTTTGCCTAGAATACGTCCTCTCACTTCGTCTAACTCAGCATTGAGTCCAGCCAAAAATTCAAATACACGGTCCTTCTCAACTGTTTTCTTGAACTGGGCACTATAACCTGCACACTTCCATTCAAAATCATAAAAGAGGTCAAGTTCTTGCCACAAACCTTGTAATATGTTGTAATACTTTGTAACAGTCTGATCTCCTTGTCCTATTTCTTGGATCCTTGTTTTAATTTCATAGACTTGTGCGGAATTGCCTAAGTCTGAGCATGTCTCACTCACTGCATCCCATAATTCTTTGGCAGTGGAGAGATAGATAAATGTCTGGCCTATCTCCGATTCCATGGAGTTCACTAGCCATGAAACATGGAATTTTTTGCATCCCAAATGGCATATGCTGGATCATCTTCCTTTGGGCCTGCTTTGCACCAGTTAAATAACCTATCTTCCCCCGCCCTCAGACGAACAACATTACGGAATGAGACCACTGTAGAAAATTCTGTCCATTCAGCCGATGAGTGGTAATTTGGAGGATTGGGTTGTCACCTGAACCTGATGAAGTGATCTGGGATTTCCGAGCATTTGAAGAATCAACCGAAACTTCCTCAGTGGAGATTCCAGACATCGCGGATTTAACCAAATAAATCATTCAGAAACGACAAAGAGAAATAGAAGAATAAGTCTTCTATAATTCTGGTATAAACGACCAGAATTAACGATGAATGTTTGCTGATTTTATCAGATAATCAGCAGAACAATGGAGTAATTATCGTCCTAGTGAAGGCGGCTCTGATACCATGAACACAAAGTTGAAAAAGAATAAATTCTGATATTCTCTTTTCATATCACATATGTTAGTTTACAGGCCTATATATATAGAAGTGTATTACAAATTCTATCTAAGGAAAAGATATATACAAATCATAATTCCTATAATATAGGAACTACTTATGTAAAATTTTAAAAAGTCAACTATCTAACTATGGATAATTCCTAAAAATCCTCCCTAACTAATTTCCTAACAATTCAGCCTAGATCTTTCCACAAGAGATAAAACAAGGAAAGAAGGAATAAGAAATAACTCTAAGGTGGAAGTAAACAAAAAGGACTGTCTCTAAACAACAAAGATGTTATCAATGAAGCATCCTTCTCATCAGATTATCAGATTAACTCATAATTACTCTATAACTTGAAAATATGATAGTATAAAGGGGTAATTCTACCTTCAAAAAAGCTGTCCAGTCACCACTTGTACACATTGAACTTGGAGAGTTGAATTTCTTCCACAAACAAAAAGAAAATTTTTAAAATTTTAGAGCTCAAAAGAAGACAGATTCAAAAGATAAACTAATAGGAGAAAATGTACTGCAATGAGAGTAAGGGCCATATGGTGGTTATACATTTGAATAGTATATCAGCATAATGTTGGTCATGACTCATAACTATTAATAACCTGTTACATTTACAAATTTCAAACAATGCCAGCATTTCAAAAATGCCTCATCCAGCAAAGCAGAGAAATACTATGGTGGCCATTGAACTGACAAAGGTTCCATTGAGATTCAAAAAGGATTGTACTGATGGTAAGAAAAATTAGAAGTGTGTGGCTATAAGTGCCATGATTCCAGTCACTGGACGACAGTTGTGGTAGCTGATTAAAGAAGGGAGCTTCAAATCTTGATTTTGGAAAAAACATAAATAATGCAAAATGAAGGACATAGATAGAAGAAAGAGCAAGTAGAAGATATTATTGTACCTTGAGTATGTGGGGAATATCCTTTACAGACTTCAGTGTATCACGTAAAGAAGCCAAGAGTTCTTCAGAGCAAAGGAGGAATGATATCTTAGTCTAGTTAAAGATTAAGAACTTCTGTCGAGGTAGGTTGGGGATATGGATAATAATTTCCCAGCTCATGCTTATATTTGTAAACCATCTCCATTGAAGAGTTGCAAAAATACACCACAAAATATTATGAGCTCTGGGCCTGACTTTTTCATAATCATCTTCACCAAACTTCATCTTGTTATGCTGTCAGGTTACAAGTATCTTGTTTTGGAACTTCAATCAAATGATCTAACACCGATAAAGAAAAAAGTAGTAGTCATGGTGAAGTTAGGGGGTGAAAGGATACAGCATTGAGACGATTATTCAAATTCTCAAGGTCCAATATAGGCCTCAGGAACCAGTTCCTAGTGCAAGGAAAACCATTTGTCCAGGGCCTTGGTCAGTGGGTTGGAAGTAGTGCCAATGTAAATTTCTCAATCCGAATTTACCTCAAGAGACGTCTACCCATTGGGGTTACACACTGAAATAAGTACAAATAATTTAGTCCAATTCAAATGTTACAGCAGCATCAAAAAGTGTTTGGCCTTTACCAACAGGCCCATGGCCTAGCGGTACCAGGTCCCTACTTCCCAAAGGGAAGTCAGGGGTTCAAGCCCCAGTGGAGGTGTGTGTGTGAGTACCAACTAAGAAAAAAAAATAAAAGTATTTGGCCTTTAAATACCTTATTCATCATCCCAAACACAGAGAACCTGCAGTTCAATAAAATTAGCTAACATCTATGATAAACAAAAACATCATGAGTGCGTTTCAGCATTACCCTTCTTTTGCTCTGCCAATGCCCATATGGCTTGGATGTTTGTCTGTTTGGAATATTTGCAATGCCTCATGAGCTGTTGCATCAACTTTTAGAAACTTGTTTCTAGATACTGGTTGTAAAGGCATTATCATAATGTAGTTTCAGGTTTCCGTTGAAAAGAAAAAACATAAGAGGTAAAACGAGTATAAATACAGGGAAAAAAATGAACACTTTAAATGGGAAATGACATAGAAGAAGATACAGTGAAATCTCCATGACAGAATCAATTGTGATTGATGCATTCCCACTTTCCTTTTGTTCAACAGTATCCACAATTCTTTCGTTCTCTAATATGGCCAATAGCCCCCCGCTTGCACGAACTTGCACGTCACTTTCAATGTCCATCATAGAACTCAACTGCAGTTGATAAGAGAGTAAAATATGCTATAAATAGATATTATTATAAACGAATATATCCTGCTTTGAAAGACAGTAATTTAAAATGTTGGAAGTTTTGGTTCAATCACATCATAAAAATAAGGGGGGAAAGGTAAAGAAATAAACATGCACAAAACACAAGAGTCTAACGTTTCTACATTAGTGACTATTTCCTCAGGTAAAGACAGCAAAGGGGAATTTTTCAGTATGAAGGTATGTTGGACCCTCAACCCAGACTTGTTTGGTGTTTTGAACTCAAATTTAAACAAAAAATCAGAAAGAAAAAAAAGAAGTCATATTTAACGACACAAAATCACTATCATTCTCAGGAAGATGATGAGGATATTGCACATGAGAATTTCTATAAATTAATGCCGGATGTAGAAAACCATTACCCCCCATTCTTTTTCCTTTTTCTTTTTTTTTTTTTTTTTGAAGCTTGCTTGCAGTCAAGCATTTCATCAAATAAAGTAAAATTAATTATGAAAAGTTTTGTAAAGATTCATTGATAAGTCACCTATAATTCTAGTTCACGTAAAATAATTGTTAGCATATATGATACCACCATTTATGGTATACCATAATAGCAGAGATTTGACTATGCATATGTTAGCATATATGATACCACGATTTATGGTATGACTTACCATAATAGCAGAGATTTGACTATGCTATAGAATATGCCATAGAATATGCTTTAGAATAAGTTGTGATTTGATTTTGATTTGATTTAGTTTCCTTTCTTGTAATATGAGATGTACTCATTTTATCTATAAATACTAGAGCTGTGAATGAGTAATATAGATCATTCAAGCCTTTACGCAATTCTCTCCTTTCTCTTCTTTTTATATATTTCTACTTGGTATCAGAGCCAACTCCTTTCCACACCTTTCAGCAGCCTTGCTACTTGTGCGACAGCTACCTTAGGCTGTTTGTGACATCGTGTGACGTTGCCTACACATGTTTTTCTATATTGCTGTTTTGTGATCGAAAACAAGTATTTTTAAGTTTTACAATTTCTTTTTCACTCTTCTTGGGTTGGGTAAATTGGGATAGTTGGTTTCCAACACTTAGAAGGGCTTGGGTAAAAAAAAAAAAAAAGTCTGCAAAGAGGTTCCGGATATTAAAAAGGAGGTTGTCTAGCCATATGTAAGCGGGCAACGCTCCTTAAAAAACGTATGTATTTGGATTTTTCGGGAATGGTCTGAGGAGACATTGTTATTGTTTATGGTCTAAGGAGACACTTTGATTTATTAACAGAATTTGTGGTGTTTTTGGAGTTTTTATTATCGTGTGACAAATTATGGCAGATTCAAGGTCCTCGACTGTTAATTCTCTTGGCTCACGTTCTGTGGGTGGTGGTGCCATTTTTCCCTCCAACTCATCAGAAAATCCAGGACTTCAAATTACCACAGTGAAGTTGGATGGTTCCAACTATTTGATTTGGGCATAGTCTGCCAACATATTCATTGGTGGCAAAGGCAAGATTGGCTATATTACTGGTTCTGAGAAAGAACCAGCTGAGTCAGAGAAGGCATATCCACAGTGGTTTGTAAATAACGCTATGGTTATGTCTTGGCTAGTCAATTCGATGCAACCAAACATAGCTGTTGGCTATATGCTTATGAAGACTGCTAAGCAAATTTGGGATTCAGTTCAACGCACTTATTCTCAGAAGCAGAATAATGCACGAATTTTCCAGCTGGGGCGAGATATCACCAGGATTTCTCAGGGTGACTTGACAATTTCAGGTTACATCGCCAAGCTTCGTGCTATTTGGGAGGAGATGTCATATTATGATTCCTTCCACTCTTGGAAGGATCCAGATGATGCAGTTTTATATGCAGAAATTCTGGAGAAGAATCAAGTGTTTCAGTTTCTTACCGGGTTGAACGACGAGTTTAAGCATGCTCGTGTTCATTTATTGGGCTTATCTTCATTCCCTACTCTTGAGGATGCATACTCCTATGTGTTGTCAGATGAGAGCCGCCGGACTCATCCATTAGGTGTTGCTTCTGTTGATCGTTCTTCTATGACAGTTCGGGTTCCCAACCTTTCTGGAACTTCACCATCCCAGTCAGTTTAGAGTACTACCACCGGTCCTCCTCTGGGACAACGTGGACAGTGTGACCATTGCAGAAAAATTGGTCACATCAAATCTCGTTGTTATACTCTACATGGACATCCACCGCAATAGAAACAACAGCCTCGATCCTCTGCACATTCTATTACACAACCAGTCTCGCTGTCAACTCCTGACAACCCTGCCTCTACATCTTCTGCCACAGTTACCTTGACTCAAGCTGATTTGGACAAGTTCAAGCAATTCTTCAACCAAATGGAGGCATCATCTCAGCCAACCTCCACTTATGCCCACTCAGGTACTATTGCGTCTACACATAGCGTATCTACATCTTCAACACCATGGATCATTGATTCTGGTGCTTCAGACAACATGACTGGTATGTCCTCACTCTTCCAATCTTATAGTATCTGCTCTGGCCAATGCAAGGTCCGCCTTGCGGATGGCTCTCCATCTTCCATTGCTGGGAAAGGTCACATATCAATTACTCCTTCATTAACTTTGCCAAATACACTTCATGTTCCAAAGTTGACTACAAATCTTATTTTTGTTAGTAGCGTTACCAAAAAATTAAATTGTAGTGTAACGTTCTTTCCCTCTCATTGTATTTTTCAAAATCTGGTGTCGAAACGGACGATTGGCAGTGGGCGTGAAGTGGACAGTTTATACCTGTTGGGTGCTCCTTTGTCACCTCAAACACATTCAGCTTTATTTTCTAATATTGTTTCATCTAATAAAGCCTAGCTTATGCGTTAGCACATGCATTTCGGACATATTTCTTTTGGTTATTTGAAACATTTATTTCCTTCCTTATTTTGTAACGCAGCAATGTCAGATTTATCCTATGAAACATATCATATGGCTAAACATGTTCGTTCCAATTATCCTGCTAGTAGTAATAAATCTACTTTAACACCTTTTGATCTTGTTCATTCAGATGTGTGGGGTCCTTACCCAGTTACTTCTAGTCTTGGATTTTGATATTTCGTGTTGTTCATTGATGATCATAGTCGTGTTACTTGGGTTTATCTTATGAAAACCAAAAATGAGGTATACACCATTTTTAAAAATTTTATGACAATGGTTCAGACTCAATATGGTCGTACCATTAAAAAATTCCGATCTGACCAGGGTACAGAGTACACTTATGGGGAGGTACAACGGTTATGTACAGAATTTGAGATTAAGCATCAGATGGCTAATGTTAAAACTCCTCAACAGAATGGTCGTTCTGAGAGAAAGAATCACCACATCTTTGACTTAGCCAGAGCAATCTGCATTGGCATGAATGTTCCCCAGTCATTTTGGGGAGATGCAGTTCTTACCGCTGTTTACATCATTAATAGGACTCCTTCTAGGATTCTTAACTTTGCAGCCCCACTCTCAATCTTACATCCTAATTCATCTCTTTTGTTGATTCCTCCACGAGTCTTCGGGTGTGTGTGCTTTGTTCAGCAGTTGGGGCAGACTCGTACAAAGCTTGACCCCAAGGCTTTGAAGTGTGTGTTTTTGGGCTATTCTCACTCTCAAAAAGATTATAGGTGTTACCATCCTCCCAGTCGTCGGCGGTTTATATCCATGGATGTTTCTTTCTTTGAGCATACACCATACTATAGTGGTTCAGTTGGTTCCCAGAGTGAATGGTTCCCATTGACTATAATGGATGATCACCTTCTTCCATCTTCAACTCCTTTACCATTACCTGTTTCTTCTTCTATGATTCCTCCTCGTGATACCCCTCCAGCAGGGGGAATTGTTCTCTTTTCATAGGTTTATAGTCGGAGACAACAAGTACAAGCTTCTACTCCCACGATCGACAGCCCTATTCCTTCGGCACCAGCTCCGCCTTCTTAAGCTATTGTTTCACTTGATGAGAGCCCCATTGCTCTTCGAAAGGGTAAACGTTCTTGTAATTACCTTATTTCTAATTTTGTTTTTGATTATGCTCTCTCACCTTCCTATCGGAGTTTTCTTGTTTCTATTGTCTCGGTTCCTATTCCTTCTAGTGTTGTAGATGTACTAGCACAACCTCAATGGCGTGATGCTATGACAGAAGAACTACAAGCACTTGAGAAAAATCAGACTTGGGACATGGTTCCGCTTCCTATTGGACAAAAGGCTGTGGGTTGTCGTTGGGTGTTTACAATTAAGCATAATCCAGATGGGTAAGTTGCTCGTTATAAGGCCCGATTGGTTGCCAAGGGTTATGCTCAGACTTATGGCATAGATTATTAGAAGACTTTTGCCCCTGTTGCCAAGATGAATACCATCCGTGTATTATTTTCCATTGCTACAATTCGATCTTGGCCTCTATTTCAGTCAGATGTCAAGAATGCCTTTCTCAATAGTGATTTGCAGGAGGAGGTGTACGTGGTTCCTCCTCCGGGCTTTCGTTCTCCTGCTCATTCTGGTATGGTATGTCGTCTTCGTCGTTCTCTGTATGGCCTCAAGCAGTCTCCTCGAGCTTAATCTGATCGCTTTGGCACTGCTATGCTCAAGTTTGGTTTCCATCAAAGTGTAGCTAATCATACCTTGTTTTTACGTCATTCAGGCGGTAAGACAGTTGCCCTCATTGTGTATGTTGATGACATTGTTCTTACCGGTGATGATACTACCGGAATTGATGAGGTTAAGAGCTATCTTGGCCGTCAGTTTGAGATTAAGGATCTTGGCCCCCTACGGTACTTCTTGGGCATTGAGGTGGCTCGTTCCAAGACTGGCATTTTCATCTCTCAACGCAAGTTTGTTCTTGACTTGCTTTCTGCTTCTGGTCAGCTTGGCGCTCGTCCTGCTGATACTCCAATTGAGCAGAATCATTGGTTGGCTGATTCTGAGGGGGACTTGTTGTCAGATATTGGTCAATATCAACGACTTGTGGGGAAGCTCATCTATTTAT